ATTGTCACTTACCTACTGTATCATCATATTTTTAGCAAATGTGAGAGATTACAGTTGCATGTATCCAAGCATTTTAATTCAAGTCTTTGTATTTGAGTTGGGTTTTTATTCACATATAAACATTGATAAGTTAGTACTGTTTTTAATTTGGTCACAGAAGCTAAGAACAAATGAGTCTCCACAAGAACAGAGATCAGCTTTCAGATTTTCTCTCACACATCAAGAATCTATGAGTTTTTGTTTATGTTCACTGATTAGTGTTTATATGTGAATAACAAAGTTAAATCATTTTTTTCTATTTGTTTATGATTTTTTTTAAGCTTCTGACTTCCGCATGAGCAGAATTCAATTGGATTTTATTAAAAATAACTTTTTACAAAAACAAATTTAAGTCTTTAGGATTTGGTACAACATAAGATAAGTAGTAGTAGTAGTAAAACTTTATTGTCCTTGACAGGAGATTTGTTTTGGGCATCGCCATATTGCTGCAGACACTCACTAAAACAAGCAATAAAAAACAGTATAAAATACAACAATTACAAAATTTATGGTGCCAATTAAGATATACTCTTATTAAGTAAACCCACTGACACAGGTACAAAGGATTTCTTGTAACGGTTTAACCTACACTTTGGGACTCTATATCTTCTACCAGAGGGAAGCAGTTCGTACTGGGGAAACAAAAAATGAGTTGGATCCTTTACAATCCTATCCACCTGATTGAGGACACAGTTCTCATATAAAGAATATCAGATGTTTCCATCCACCTGTTTTCTGTGCATTTTTTGCATTAATAAATGCTTTATGGAGATGTCAAGATTATGAAAATGTGCATGAAAACGTATGCGCAGCAGATCTTAGGATAAATGTTATAACTACAATGGATGCACATTCAGTGAATAAATTCTAGCATGCGCAAAAAAAGCCATTTGATTTTGCTTTAAAAGACCATGTGGTAAAAATTGGTGCAATGAGATGGTGGACAGACCACATTGCACAACATCTGAAATTTTGCTCATTAACCATCATGTTTTGTCCATCAAAGTGGTTCAATGTTATTACGATACCTCTCAGAACTGCACTCCCAAAGATCATCTCACACCTTCACAAGACACCATGCATTCATTGTGTTTCGTCTTCTGAAGTACAAGTAATTTATTACATAAGGAAAAGCCCAGAGTGGCTTCTCCTAACCAGAAATTTTCATTTATCTCTTTGATACATGTCACCAGTGTTCAGCAGGTGTTGTTCTCTTTGACCCATTGGATGGAAACGGTGGTTGCATACTTTTTATGCAATATTCCAGTTTTGCACATAGATTTAATTTGAAGCGTTGTATAGAAGCATATCTAATAATGACCGAATTTTCACTCAATGAATGAACATTTAAGTTACATTTAAGAGCATCACAACAAATATTTTTCTCACCTCACCTCTTTAACTCTTTAACTAGCAAGCCATTCCATACATTTCTACACAACATTAGGATCAAAATGTAAAATAAAACCAAAATAAGATGATAAATAAATGCTACTGGCTGAATTAATCATACCTGCAATTAAGTCATGTGACATACTGCTTTATGATGACGCATGACATTGCAGAATACTCATCCCATCCAGAATATAGCCAGATTCTCTGCTCCTCACACTTTGGGTACTTGACATCATTTTTCTCTGGACTTCACCTCAGGGATGTGTAAAAATCACAACACAACGGTTTGTCCACCAACAGCTGAGATCTCACAAGGCTACAGGCTGTCCAGAACACTTTGAGAGCTCAGCAAATCTGACATGTTCTCAGAAGCACAATGACACCACATAGAGCAAAGGCTGGCAATCCTTAATGACACTAAGTGGCACTTTTAATTTATCATAGCAGTCGTTCAGTCACATTGAAAATCACTTGGTGATGATACATTTAAAGGTTGGTTAAGTAGCCCCTGAAAATGAAATTAAAATCCAATCAACTTTTTAAATGTACTGTATGTTTAAGATCTTAACCACCCCAATATACTACAAAGAAAATCAAAAAACGAACTGAAATGACAATTTAAAACCAAATATGGCCAAAACTAAGTTCTTTTTGAGTTTCAGCAGTTCAAAACAGCTCACCAAATCAAACTTTTTGTGGCAGTTCATTTTGGCTCCTAAACACATTTGAGCTGCTATCGGACCATGCTGACTATGTAAACGTAGGTCATTTTCTGGAACTCTTCCTTCTTTAACATACACTTTCTTCCACTTCAACCATTTTATATTCCACAGTGGTCAGACAGGACAACAGCAACTAAAACATCAGCACTAGCCACATGAATACACTAGAGGGTCGAGTAACAGAGCTGGTGCAGATGTATCTGCACCTGTACAATCGCTCACAGAGAGATTTTAGAGAATCGAAAGGGGTCATATACAGTACTGGACAAGAAGCCCACCTCATCGCACCACATCTTTTTCATGAGAGAACAAACATTGTATGTCCATGGTATGTCTAATAGAAAACAAAGATGTGGTAGTGCTTCCTGTGGAGAAGCCTGTTTTCCAGTATATGAAACTGTTTGTTCAATTAAATTCAATTGGTGTTTATTTCTATAGCGCTTTTACAATGTAGATGGTGTCAAAGCAACTTAACATAGAAGCTCTAGGAAATGGAAACTGTGTCAGTCCAGTTTCAGAGTTAAAATTCAGTTTAGTTCAGTTCAGTGTGGTTTAAATTTCACTGCTGAAAGTCCAAACACTGAAGAGCAAATCCATCAATGCGCAGCCCCACAAGTCCCAAACCAATTGGGTTTGTTGTGGCATTTTGATCAGGTTGTGGAAGCATAGTAGTGAGCTTTTATCCCACTTCATTCCCCTCACATTTAATAGATCTTCAAATTTATTTGATCTTATTTTATAAAAATTGAACAACTACAACTCAAAATTAGGATACAAATGATATATAACCAAAAACTTCTGTGTGGAGTTTGCATGTTCTCCCTGTGTTTACGTGGATTTCCTCCGGGTGCTCCGGTTTCCCTCACAGTCCAAAGACATGCAGTTCAGGTGAATTGGGTAAGCTAAATTGTCCATAGTGTATGTGTGGATGTTTCCCAGAGATGGGTTGCGGCTGGAAGAGCATCCGCTGCATAAAAAACGTGCTGATACGTTGGTGGTTCATTCCGCTGTGGCGACCCCGGATTAATAAAGGGACTAAGCCGACAAGACAATTAATGTATGAATATAACCAAAAACAAGAATCCTTCAACAAAAATGTATGAAGTGGTCTAAAACTGTCTGACCCACTTTTTTCTTTTAAAGTACTGCTGTCAATTTACCTGCCTCTATTGAATTCATGACCAAAACCTTTAATAACAAAACAAAAGACAAACCAGTTATATTTTAAGCTAAATTAAAGTACACAAAGTTCTCAAATAATTGAAACAATTTCAACCTCATCTCCCAACAATCAACAGCAAACTCACACTTAATTTTAGATCATTGTAAACATTGAAAATTTCAATGACCAACTGATGTCTAGAACCATGTCGGTTCCAATCTGTCAATTTTATTTTAGGGTGCACTAAATATGCTTTACTTATTTATTTATTTGCTCTTCTTGTCTGTTGTTAATTGTGCACCCTCATTTAAACATTTCTAAAAATAAGCACCTATGTTAAATCATGTAAGATGTTTTTCTCTAAGATAAGATCTTTAATGTATTTCTCTGAGATATTTGCTTGTCTGCCAATGTTTATCCTTCTGTGTGCCAATGGATGAATGCGGGTGGAAGGTTACAGACTGGTCTATGCCTCAAGCTGCACAACTTTCAAAAAAGCTCAAACACATGCATCATGGATAAGTTGTACTATAAAGTCAGATAATGTGAGGCTTTATAGGAAACAAATATGAATAATTAGCATTTTGACCTTTTGAAGGAAATCACCACAACTTAACATAATGTTGTCTAAATACATAATCATGAAAGAAGTTCAAGACTTGCATATGATCTGACTGGTTGCTCAGCATAACCCTATTTTAATCAAATCAGAAAAGCAACAGTATCCTCAAACACGTCCCAACTTCAATTTCCCAGACCCTGAGTAATCTCAAGGGGTCACTGACAGCCCTGACAAATGCTTCATCAGACATCCCACCGAAGATTAAACCGCCAACCCTCAAGGACAGCCCTCAGAGTGATCTTTAGACTCCAGTGTCATTTTTTTTTTTCTTCGTCTTCAGTGTCACTGCGTTTGTGTCAGCATCTCGGTTTGTTAATTGGAGCTACACTGACATTCTACCACCGCCGGCCACATATCTCTGCCCGATCACGTAGTTACGCGAGCACGCTGATAAATGCTAAGCTGACAGGTTTTATGAGCCTTGGTGAGCAGAAGGGAGTGGAGTCATCACCCCGCACTGTGATGATCTTGTTGTCTTCACCAGCCTGAGTCACGTGTACCTCAGGGTGCATGTAAACCCAAAATCTGCATGCACGCGACCATACATCATCCCATGCACATTTGCAGAAGGAAAGGTAAGCAGGCAGCCGGAGGGCTCAGCGCAGCAGAGCTCCCATAATGCACTTCAGCTTTAATGAGAATGGGCGGCAGAGGAAGGTGCAGACATTACACTCACGTTCTGCCAAAGTTCACGCTTACGGCATCGATATGCGAGATGGTGTAATATGCCGATGACAAACAATGGAGCCTGAGGCGGACGCTTCCCGAATACATAAAGCATGGATGTTTGCTTTGCTGCAGCATCAATCATAAATGTTGTTCTAAATCCATCAAGCAGGATGTTCCCCAAAGACCAAGGGGCTACTTAACCAATCGTCTAAGTCATGACCCCCTCTCTCCACCAGACAAGCATCTTCCTCAAACCTGATATGTGAACAACCAGCTCTAACTGACTTGTTAACATAATGAGTCAGTGAAATGTGTGAAGGTGTGTGCGTATTCCCTTCAGTGCAAAGAAATGGGAAAGGAGAAAACAGCAGAAGGCTTTTTTTTTTGTTACCTTGCGTCTGCGGTCTCTCGATCGGTTCCTCTTCTTGATCTTCTCCTCCTCCTTCTCCCGCAGCTCTTGGGCAGCGAGCTCCTGTAGGTCCTTGTTCTTGCGGATCTGCTTAGCGGCTTGCGCCATGGTGCCGCTGCAACAAGCAGTGATGCGCCTGTAACGGAGGCTGTCGCCGTCCCTGCGGCGGCCAGTGCGGGAGAGGCGGTGGCGCTGCGAGCGCCTGCAAGGAGTGAGCGCCCTGCACGGCTCTAAGCAGCCAGTTCCCTCAGCAGCGCCACAAAAGAGATGATGCTACTGCCTGCCTGCTTGCTCCTCATCCAAGCCAGATCCTTCCCATCCCCCCTCCCTTCTCTCTCTCTCTCTCTCTCACACCAGTCAGTCACGCAGTCCAAGGCTCAGCAGTGTAGGGATACTGCAGCAGCTCGATTTTTCTCCCTCCTTCTCTTTCTCACTCACAGTCTCCCATTTTCTCTGCCAACTGTTTACGGCACGTCTGTTAGTACTACTGTTGTCTTCTTTTTGCAGATCTGTAGGATATATTAGTGCACAAATTCATTAATTCTTTCCACACAAATTGATTTTTCACACCATATTTTATTTGTTTATTTAATGAAGATTTCATTCTGCAACTGGTTTCTAGTTTACTTCAGCATGATGCATTGTGTTGGATTCATGGTTATAACTATAGGCAGGTTTCCCCCTGTAAAGGGGTTTGAGCTATAACAGCTTACCTCATAAAAACTGCATGGTCGCTCTCTCTCTCTCTCTCCCTTTCTCTCACCAGACTGGTTTTCCATGAGAAAAGGCTCATGCACTGTTGTTTATGCAGTAATCCAGTCCATTTCAACCTGCACATGGGGGAAAGACAATGCGAGGGAGTGTATATGACAAAGAGACAGATTGCCACTCATTTTCTAGATTGACAAACAAACCACTATGCTTTATGTCAAGCAAAACCCAATGGAATAATCTTGATGCTTCTGAAAGCAAAATACATTACATACAGAACAGTAATGACAAATTGTGTTTTACGTCTGAACAGGTGAGATACAGTGTGCTATTTATTCATTTTTTTTATAACAATACCATGTAAAATGGGGGAATGCGGAATAGCAGTTATGTAAAGAGGCTCCAGTGCATTACAATTCAGAACCCATCTGAAGAGAAATGCAGGCGCAAGCGTTTGCCTCTGAGAATGATGGCTGAGTCATGTGACCTCACACAGATAACTCATATTTATTTATGCTTGTCATGACACTAGGCTGTACATTATCCTGCATCTGCTTGATTTCCCATCCTCTAATCAAAATGATCCACTGATAACCTTCTGGAAGGTGGAAAACTTTGCCAATACAGATCATCACATGCTGTATTTCAAAATAAGAACATTATATGGTGTACATGTATTTATGAAAAGGATTTTTAAGATGCTTTTCAACATTTAAACATAAATGTATTAATACTAAATATCTGATACTGTAATATTTTCCCAGTGACTGATGTTTGTGGTGCTCTATTTCTAAAATGTGATCTACTGTAGACTTACATTTTTCCTTTTCCTTTACATTTTGTATTTCCACTCTGGATAGTCGCTGAACTGGGACCACGTGTCCTCTTATGATGCCATCAGTGTCATGATTTTCCACCTGTGGTTTCAGAATGATTAGCAAGATTACATTTACAGATCAAGCTCAATCGGCTGATGAATTACTTCATCTAGAACACTGTGTGCATTAGCAAAGCAGGTGGATTTCAAAATACAACTGACATTAAAATGAATGCAAATGTTAAAAGTAGCGCTGATCTACAACTTAATAAGTTTACATTGTGCCTTCCAATATGAAAACCATGAAAATAACTGTGGGAATGAGCACAAAATTAAAAATTTAAGTTACCAATTCAATTGTCAAAACATTAAATTTGCAGCCAGTTATGAATATATTAATTACTTTGAAAGAGGTCATGAACTGAGAAATACAAATTGCATTGATATTTTGACATATAAGAGAGCATTTTACTATAAAAACAACGTGTAAATTTCAGAACTAAAACATTCTTATTGGACTAAAAATACTTTATATTTAGGTCAACCTGCCAAAACAAGAACTAACACTTACAAATAAATCCTGCCGCTGCATTACATGATCAATGCTACTTTTATACAGTGCTCAGCATAATTGAGTACACCCCATTTCAAAAATTACTATTTTTATCTATTTCTCAGTGAATATTGGCATATGTATTTTATATGTAAATATATGTATTTTGGTGCATTTAAACAAAACAGATTTATTAAACAGATATATTTATTAAAATAATATTTTAGTCACCAAACATATTTAGAAATTGAAAGATAATACAAATAAATTCAAGCAAAATGTTGAGAAAAAAAATTCAAACTATTTCAACTCGACTTTTCCTATTTTTAAAATTTGTATTAAATATTTTTCTATAACATACATTTGGGTGTACTAGTTTTTGGACGGTTATCGTAAGTTATTTTGTTAGATAAGCTCAGTACTTACTATTCTAATGTACATGCGCAAATGTAATATTGTATAGCTTCATATTAAAAATATGATTTAAAAAGATAGATTTGTGAGGGAATGTACTTATATATGCTGAGCACTGTATATTTAGCTTTATCCACCGATAAATGCTGTAATGAGAGAGGCACACTGTGTAAGTTATACAGGATAAAAACTAAAAATTGCCATAATTCTGACCATAACATAAGAAAAGAGTGAATGCACTTTATTATGTAAAATGAAGTGACACATTATGGAACTTTGTCTTTTATTTAAATTCATTGTCAGTTCAAATTTATAGTTTATTTTACCGTGGATATTAGGGCTGCACAATAAATCGTTTCAGCATCGATATCGCAATGTGATCATTCACAATAATCACATCAGGAGTACACACAATTTTGAGTCTAGATTATAATTTATCATTTGCATGTGCTTTCGATGCTTGTGATTGTATTATACCTTTAATTCAATCAGGCGTAATAAATTGTACCATTTGCAACTTTAACAAAGATTGTGTTTATTGAATAATTAATTTTTATCATTTAGTTACTGTACATAATTTGTGTTAGACTTGGAAAGCGATAAAACACTTTTTCATTTGTATCTTTTTCTTGATTGTATTTATAGATAGTTATGCATGAAATACTCACAACACATGCAAATACAGAAATGCACTGCAAATATCACAGACCACATCTAAAATGTGTCGGGGGACCCCAAAAACTTTAAATATTGTTTATTCAATTTTATGGAGATGCACTCCCACTGCAGAATCCTCCCAATTGATCTAAAATTATAAATTCTTTCCAAATAGAGACATTCAAGTTATTTGGTTAAATTGTATTCATATTGCAATATATAGCGCAAAATAAAAAAATACTGCCATGCTAAATTTTGTCCTACAACCCTAGTGGATATGTTTACAAATAAGGCCCAATTCAACAATGGATCTTCAGAAAGATTTAAACTAAATGATACTGCTGTGACAATTGCATCAAACTAGTAATGTTGCACCACACAGGTGTGAGTTATTACAGTACATGCTCACTATTGTTTTATTCTGTAATTACAGATCGTTTGATATGTGCTTGGTATTTACAGTATGTGTGATTTACCCAAATTACATGCAGCATTCAGCTCTGAGGGATGTAGGATGTAAGTGTACATCGCTGACCACATAGCTCTGTTCACAGCTGTCTCAAATTCATTCATTCATTTTCTTTTGGCTTAGTCCATTTATTAATCAGGGGTCTCCACAGCGCAATGAACTGCCAACTTTTTCCAGTTTTACATCCAGCTGCAACCCAGTACTGGGAAACATCCATACACACATTTACACACATACACAACAGCCAATTTAGCTTTAGTCAATTCATCTGTACCACATGTCTTTGGACTGTGGAGGAAAACGGAGCACCCCGAGGAAACCCACACTAACGCGAGGAGAACATTCAAACTCCACACAGAAATGCCAACTAGTATCATAGCTGGGACTCGAACCAGCAACCTTCTTGTTGTGAGGCAACAGTGCTAACCACTGCACCACCGTGTTGCTCCTGTCTCAAACTTTCATTTTAAATATGCAAACCATAACTTACAAGTGTAGGTTTCCTTTTCTACAATCCACCAGGCCTATTCAAACTGATGAGGGGCTTCAAAACAGGACATCATAACATTTATAAGTGAATCTTGATAACATTTATAAGTTGACCTTATCATAATTCATAATTTATTCCTTAATATTCTTTTCAACTTAGTCCCTTTATTGATCAGGGGTCGCCACAGCGGAATGAACTGCCAACTTATCCTGCATATGTTTTACGCAGCAGATGCCCTTCCAGCTGCAGCCCATCACTGGGAAACATCCATACACACTCATTCACACACATACAATACGGACAATTTAGCTTAACTAATACACTTATAGCACATAAGTCTTTGGACTTGAGGGGGAAACCGGAGCAAACCCATATGATCACAGGGAGAATATGCAAACTCCACACTCCACAGACATACATTAGTATTAAACAGAGTAACATGGCTGCCCCCATAAGACGACCTGCTACATGTAAAATGAATACTCAAAGTCAGACCACTGATTTGTTTAGTGTTGAAAATTACCATGTAATGTTTATTGCATTGTGTCTGTCTGTGAAGCTCAATCACGGTTTGTCAACAGCAGATATCGCCATCTATTGGACTCTCTGCACTACGACGCGGTTGTTTCAGTACTACTACAGTTGATCGATCGATTAGGACATGGCATGGGGACATTTCCACACATGCTTGTAACATACATTTCACTCTGTTGCCTAATATGCAAGACTTAAAAAAAGTAACACTCATGCAGGGTTTTCTGCCCTTACTTTACGTTTGCTGTCCTCCATTGTGCAAATTAACGTACTGAAGATCAAGGCGTCAATTTTTTTCAGTATTTCAATGTTAGTTTTTGTGTAGGCTACATACCTCAACTTACTAAATGTTTATGTTTAATAGATTTTGTATTGATCAAACTTACTGATGTTTTACGGTGTTTTGAACAGTTATTGGGTGTAAGTTACATATATTGGCACTGGCTCAGAAGATGTGTGATTCTCAAAGACGACCAGTGTTTGATAAAACAAACGGTGACATATTTGCGTGTTACAAGTAAGACACAAACGCCTATTTAACCATGTGTTCAGGATTTAAGAAATGTGTTTTGTGATTACTTACAGCACGGTATTAGATCTGCCGGTTTCTCGGTTTCAGCCATAGCAGCTAGACTATTTGGCGCGATGATGCATTCACAATGGAATGAACCATTACAGGGGTGGGCAAATCTATATTTAAGTGATCTATTATTCTAAATGTAAACTATTTTTAAATACAGATTGTTGCAAACTATTTATCACTATTTAAAGAGCTGAATCCCCTTCTAACTTGATTGATTTGACATCCTTCGGTGGATCAAGAGTTAATTATCCACCCTCCCCCATTCAAGTTTAAGTACATTCAATTACATTCAAGTTTAATTTTTTTATATTTCAATTGTAATTTACACATTTATGTTTCACATATCAACTAATCTGCAAGGTTAATCATTTACAGTTCTTTTAATTACCTTTTATTCCAGTATTTATACACAGCCTACACATATTTAGCAGGTTACACTCCAACAAAACAGTTACACTCCAACACTGAAGTACATGTGATGTGAAGGAAACTTCACTAGAACACATATGCATGTAATTATATTTATACTTTTTATTAGCCTTAAGTTAAGGCAAAACTGTCTCCTTTTCTGTCTAATTATTAGTGGTTTCTACAGAATAATGGGCCATGTTCTTAAAGTGTTAATTTTCTTCACACTTTTCTAATTTTATATTTAAACTCTGCAAATTAAATATTAATAACATTTTCTGATGCCTTCTTTATTTGTTTGTTTGTTTGTATTTAAATTTAAGACAACATTGTTTTGAAAAGGTGTTTTCGTTGCAAGGAGGGCTAAATATCCCTTCAGCAGACTAACAGTTTAGTATGCATAATAGCTTATTGGGATTCCTTCACTGTAAAAAACTGAGCTGAATTAACTTATATCATGTTAAACTGACTTTAAACAGCTTGCATAACTACTAAAATTAAGTAAGAACACGATTAACTTAGTTTAATGAGTTGCAATGGGCTAAAACATATGCTGTTAGGACTAATTGGTCATATAAATGTTTATATAAAACTTGAACAAAACTTGCTTTAGGTTTTCTGTAGGAGTCCTGCTTGTTTCCCACACACACTCAAAAAAAAAGATTACTGCTGCTTGTTCAAACTACCTGTTTATAATGAGCTGAAACAACACAATTCTTGTAATTTCTGTGGCCAATTTATTTGTTTTATTTTCAGTCCACTTAAATTTGTAAACCATTAAGAAAACTTAATCGTTTTGTGCTGGTACAACAAGAAGGAATTGAGTTGGTCCAACTGCCTGGTTAGGATTTATAGTTCCCAGCATGCTTTGCATGTAATTGAATTAATAGAAGGGAAATGTTGACAATAAAAGTAATCTTATGTTTTAAAGTTCATAGAAAATCTTGTGTAAGTTTAATCTTCACTTTAGTTTGAAGTTTTAGAAGAGTTTCAAGTAATACTTTGAGTTTTGACCTTACCACCGTCCAGACCCATGCTTTGTGTGTAGCAGAGCCGGCCCAAGGCAATTGCGAATTAAGCCGTGTGACTTGTTTTAGTTTTAGATGGTTGGGTTGTGAATTATTTAGCGGTGGGGTAAAACATGCTAGCTTATTATATTGTACTGCAGTGATATAAATTCTGGCGCCAAGTGTCGATATTTATTTAAATTAACAAAATATCTGAATTAATTGGTCAGACTGACTGCAGCGGTTTACCACTTTTCCTACAGCATATCCAGCCGCCACCAGGTGGCGCTTCCCGTGCAAGGCGTTTGTGTGTTTCAGACATCCAGCTCCCCCCAATTTTCCCCTAGTTTCTTGCGTGGTGCTGAACGCAAGACAAAACGAGGAGTAGGGGTAAGAGGAAGAGCTTAGGGGTAGAATTGGTATTGGGTCCTTACAGGTGGTTGTCAAGCTCACTCACCTGTATAGAGCACACTCATGCATCATACCCTTGATCATACCGAACATGAGATGCATGGTGTATGTGTAACAGGGTTATATTGTATCTCTCCACTTGCATACATTAAAATACTAATGAGAAGGAAGGGGTTAACATTTATTCATTGTTTTATATGTAGAGCGCCCCCTCTGTTACCTAAAAAAGAAAGGAAATTCATTGTGGTATGAAGGAGGAAGCCATTGCACGAGGCTGGTAGATTAGATCTGCGCTCATTTTTCTGTTCTAACTGTTTCCACAATAATAAAATCGATAAAAGATATATCAGAGTGAATATTTATTTACACAACGCAGAAGAGACGCAAAAGACTAGTTACATTGGTGCCGTGATCGGTCTTCTAAGCGATTTCGGTGGCCCAGCGGGACGCGGACAATCGAGTGGCGGTGCTCGGCGGATTTCAGAGGCCCGGCGGGACGCGGACAATTGAGTGGCGGTGCTCGGCGGCTTCGGAGGCCCGGCGGGACGCGGACATTCGAGCGGCGGTGCTCGGCGGATTTCGGAGGCCCGGCGGGACGCGGACATTCGAGTGGCGGTGCTCGGCGGACTTCGAAGGCCCGGCGGGACGCGGACATTCAAGTGGCGGTGCTCGGCGGACTTCGGAGGCCCGGCGGGACGCGGACATTCGAGTGGCGGTGCTCGGCGGACTTCGAAGGCCCGGCGGGACGCGGACATTCGAGCGGCGGTGCTCGGCGGATTTCGGAGGCCCGGCGGGACGCGGACATTCGAGTGGCGGTGCTCGGCGGACTTCGAAGGCCCAGCGGGACGCGGACATTCAAGTGGCGGTGCTCGGCGGACTTCGGAGGCCCGGCGGGACGCGGACATTCGAGTGGCGGTGCTCGGCGGACTTCGAAGGCCCAGCGGGACGCGGACATTCAAGTGGCGGTGCTCGGCGGACTTCGGAGGCCCAGCGGGACGCGGACAATCGAGTGGCGGTGCTCGGCGGATTTCGGAGGCCCAGCGGGACGCGGACAATCGAGTGGCGGTGCTCGGCGGATTTCGGAGGCCCAGCGGGACGCGGACAATCGAGTGGCGGTGCTCGGCGGATTTCGGAGGCCCTGCGGGACGCGGACATTTGAGTGGCGGTGCTCGGAGTGACGTGGACACTTGAGTTTTGGTCCCTGCAGACTCGCCGCTAAGCTTAGAAGAGAAAGGTGGTTGTTTACATTTTGCACGCATTTTTATAGGCTAACATTACGAACACTGAACTGAGTTATGTGATTAAATGAGTGTAGACTGATTTACTATATCATTTAAGGTGATTTTGACATTATTTTTTTCATATTTCATGGTTTGGTTTCATTACTTTAACAACTGACTTTTACAGGGGATGGAAAAATTTAATACTACTGGTTTGGGGCGAGGGAGAGGGGTGTGTCAAACAAATTCAACGTTTTCCATGGGTAGGGGTTTTCCTACGCACCCTTTAACTTCCACGCCGCGGGTACGCTCTAGTTCTTGTGAAGCAAATTCACTTAATGGACCTGATGAAAATGAATGGAGGTCCCCAGCTGTTGAGAGAAGTATTCCTGTTGATTTGTTAACTACAGTGGTAAAAGAAATAGGTAAATCTATAAGTGAGAATATAGTTTCTTGTCTGGAATTGAGGACAACAGGTTGTGGGGACGGATCAAGAGTGGGACACACTGGCACTGGAGCGTCATTTGATGCTCAAAATTTGAAACTGATGTTGCAATCTGATGTAAAAGAGCCAGAATACTATCGTGGGGACGGCTCAGATAAATGCACTATACATGAATGGGTGGAATTAATGTCTGTATATTTGCGCAAGCGTGAATATAGTCAGGAATGTCAGGCTGAGGAAGTTTTGGGTAGGTTAATGGGGAGAGCACGTGATGTTGTTAAAATTGCTCTCCGCAACTACCTGAAAACTGATTTGAGTACTGGTCCAGGACCTATTTATGACATCTTGAAGCAGCATTTCAGTGAAGCGGCATACTCTGCTATGCCATTAGCTGATTTTTACGCCACATTGCCTCAAAAGGGAGAAAGCCCGTTTGATTATTGGATCAGGCTAAATAGGGCAATGGATGTTGCAGAAGACTGTTTGAAAGCTCAAGGAAAAAAACTTGATAATTCGTCTCAAGAGGTATCAGTAATGTTTGTTAGATACTGCCCGGACCCTCAATTACAGCTTGTGTTCAAATGCAAACCTCAACAACAGTGGACAGCTGCTGAAATTCAAGAAAGGTTGGATGAATTTCAGAGAGAAGCCAAATATACTCAAAATCAATTGTTATTTTTGGCTCAGAAACAGGAAGCTGTCAGACCACCTTTGCATTATGATCATAATGAAGCAAGTAGTCTCGAATCGTCAATCGTTAAAGCCAGCATTCCACAAGTTCAGCAGTCTTCTGTTCACAATTCTGTTGAATCCTTAGAACGCCTGATCTCGCGTCTAGAACGAGTATTGGAAAAGGTTCCTGGTGAAGGGGCAAAATCTGCAGAGATACCTGTGCGTACGAGGGTCAAAACTAGAGCAGATGGGAGGGGGGAGTGTAAAGTATGTAGGGACGTTAATCACACAACCTCCCACCATTGTCGAGCAGATGGACTCTGTTTTATATGCTATGCCCCAAATCACACACGTTTTGAGTGCCCGACTGCTGTTGATAAGGGGCGTGTCAAATCACAGTCGACAGCTTATCCTTCTGGTCAGCAGGGAAACTAGGTGGCCCGCATACAGTGGGGAGGGATGCAGGGCCTGATAAAATTCCCCAGTCAATTGACAATGTGGATCTAGAATCCTTATATTCTGCTGTCCGGGAGGCTACTGATCAAAACGTGACTGTAATACTTCAAAATACACACAAACTATCAATGCATGAGGACTTGTTCTATACAGATGTCGTCTTGGAAAACACACTGACTGTTCGGGGTATGATTGATTGTGGCTCAATGGCCTGCACTTTGAGTCCTGTCGCTTTGTCTAAATTACAGGAAGCTGGGATAGTTTTAATGATGTCAGATGGGGTGACCAAACCGTCAGATGTAGTACTAGTTGGCTGTGGTGGATTGAGAACGCAACCAAGTAGTATGGTCGATATAAAAATGACTGTTTGTGGATGTACGGTTCTGGTTCCGACTTTAGTTGTGGACGGCCAAATTGATGATCTCATTGTGGGCAGTAATGTGATAAAATATCTGATCAGTGAGTTGAAACAAACAGGTGATATGGTTGAAGAGTTGTCATTTGATGCGAGCAACAATTCAGACCATAACAAACTAATTCAGTTGCTTTCAAACGTCGAGAGATGGAAGGGATCGAGTGTTCCGGACAAGGTTGGGACAGTCAGACTGAAGAGGTCAGTAACACTTGAGCCTTTGCGGGAGCATTTAGTGTGGGCTAAACTTACTGAATTGAAAAACCTGTCAGCGGGTAGTGCGATTATAGCGGAGCCTTGCAGGGCCCGCTCAAGACCTAGAAATGTTCTGATTGGCCGCACAGTGGCAACATTGTGGGCAGATGGATGGGTACCTGTTAAGGTAATAAATCCCTCTACTGTTCCTATTACTTTGAGACGTAATGCAAAGTTGGCTGACATTTATCCTTGTTTGGCATTGGAGGATTTTGAGGATGATTTGACGGTTGATAAGGAAGTGTCATACTCAGTGGGACAAAATGTTAACTATGCAAAGCGGCATGACAATTCAAGTGTCAACAGTTTGTCAGATACCAATGTGACAGAGGAAGACTGTGAGTTTGGAGAAAAGTTAACTGCATTGGGTCTTGCAGATATTGATCTAGGCTCCTGTCAGTTGTCTACTGAATGGAAGGCAAAACTCGTTGATCTGATTGCACGGTATGAGTGTATCTTTTCGAAGCACAGACTCGATTGCGGTAAAGCAGAGGGTTATGTGCATCGAATAAGACTGAGTGATGAGAGACCATTTAGACTACCATGTAGAAGGCTTCCGCCTAATCAGTACGACAAGCTTAGGCAAGCTTTGAATGAGATGGAAGACAGGGAGATTATTAGGAAGTCGTGTAGTGAGTATGCCTCCCCGCTTGTTATTGTTTGGAAGAGAAACGGAGATTTAAGACTCTGTACCGATTTTAGGTGCCTCAATGCTCGGACGATTAAAGATGCACATCCGTTGCCACATCAGGCTGATGCTTTAGCTGCACTGGGTGGGAATGTTTTTTTCTCCACTATGGACTTGACATCTGGGTATTACAATGTTGAAGTGCATGAGGAAGACAGGAAGTACACTGCTTTCACATCTCCCTTTGGGTTTTATGAGTATAACCGTCTTCCTCAGGGACTTTGTAATAGCCCAGCGACGTTTATGCGAATGATGCTCGGAATTTTTGGTGATCAAAATTTCTTAAGCCTTCTCTGTTATTTGGATGATGTGCTTGTTTTTGCTCCGAACGAAGAGTTGGGCTTAAAGAGATTAGAGTTGGTTTTTGAGCGTCTGAAAACACATAACTTGAAATTGGCACCAAAGAAATGTCACTTTATGCGAAGATCTGTAAAGTTCCTTGGTCATCTAGTTAGTGAGGCAGGTGTAGCTTCAGATCCAGATAAAATAAAAGTGATTACGGAAATGACTGAGTCGGATCTCATGGATGATAAGACTGGGGCACCATCTCAACAAAAGATACGTTCTTTTCTTGGGATGGTAGTGTATTATCAGCAGTTTATAGAGCAGTGTTCAGTGATTGCGAGGCCTCTGTTTCAGTTGACTGCTGGTCCGAAGGGTCATAAATGCAAAAAGAGTAAGGGGAAGATTGTTGGGAAGAAAACGCTTACTGCAGATGATTGGACTAATGATTGTAGACGGGCATTTGGTCAGCTCAAGCAGGCCTTGATTGATTGTGTTTTGTTGGCTCACCCAGATTTTAACAGGCCGTTTCTGGTATCAGTTGATGCTTCCAGTGGTGGCCTGGGAGCTGTGCTTTCGCAGGTTCCGGAAAATGGGGGAGTCGCAAGGCCAGTTTGTTTCGCCAGTAAGTCACTTTCCTTTGCTCAGTCAAAATACCCAGCACATCGGCTGGAATTTTTTGCATTGAAGTGGGCTATATGTGACAAATTTAGTCACTGGTTGAGAGGTCGGCCCTTTACGGTCTGGACCGATAATAACCCGCTTACATATATACTAACAAAACCGAAATTGGATGCTTGTGAGCACCGGTGGGTGGCTAGGTTGGCTCCGTATCAGTTCAGTATTAGGTATATACCTGGTTCGAGGAATGTCGTAGCTGATGCTCTTAGTAGGGAGCCGTTTGTGAAGCAGAGTGCTTTGCATCGCCTTACCAGAGTGCCTTATGACTCCCTTTTGAAAGAAGCATCGGCAGTTCAGGGAGAACGGGTGCAGGATGTTTTCAGATGGTCTGCGCATCCTTTTGTTCCTGGTACTGAGCTTGGTATTGGGTCAACTCCTGGCATGCTGGTTGTGAACTCTCAATCATCAGTAAGTAGGTTGGCAGGTGAATGTTCAGCATTGGAAGTGTCTGCTGTAATGGAAGCGAAGAGATTTGACTCATTTACACCACATTGTGACCTTTTGCTGCCTCAGTTGATTCAGCAAATTATGCCCACCAATCAGACAGGATCGATGAGTTTGTCCCATGAGGAGTTGGCAGAGATGCAGCAGACTGACAGTGTATTGGCCAGAGTGATTTCGTTTGTGGAGAAGGGTAAGAAGCCATCTAGCCGTGAATGTAAACTAGAACCTATAGAAGTGAGGAGGCTACTTAGATCCTGGAAAAAGTTTGAGATGAGAGCTGGGGTGCTTTATAGAGTAGCGAGGGAGGTTGTATCTAAGAAAAAGTCATTTCAGTATGTTGTTCCAAAATCTTTGGTGGGGACAGTCTTAAAAGGTGTGCACGATGATGCTGGCCATCAAGGTCAACAGAGGACTTTGTATCTGGTGAGACAGCGTTTTTTTTGGCATAAACTTGAGAGGGATGTCAGAGATTATGTCAAATGCTGCGAGAGGTGTGTCTATGGCAAATCTCCAGAACCAGAGGCGAGGGCTCCTCTTGAAAATATTGTTACGTCTGAGCCTTTGGAGCTTGTGTGCGTTGACTTTTGGTCAGCTGAGGACAGTAAAAACAAATCAGTGGACATTCTTGTGGTCACTGATCATTTTACGAAGATGGCGCATGCTTTTCCCTGCCCTAATCAGTCAGCCAAATCTGTTGCAAAACAGCTATGGAACAACTTTTTTTGTATATATGGATTCCCCAAACGAATTCACTCCGATCAGGGAGCAAACTTTGAAAGCATGTTGATTTCTGAGTTATTGTCTGTTGCGGGAGTGGAAAAGTCGCACACAACTCCATATCACCCTATGGGTAATGGGGTTGTGGAGCGATTTAATAGAACTCTTGGGAACATGATTCGGGCTCTTCCTATTGCAGCACAACGACGGTGGCCTAGTTTGTTGAAATCTTTGACATTTGCATATAATTGTACGATACATGAAACCACTGGATATGCACCTTTTCAACTGATGTTCGGCAGAACTCCGAGACTTCCTGTGGATGTAGTTTTTGGGTCAGTTTTGCGAGACAGTGCTGTTACGGATTATGACGAGTATGTTAAGGTTTTGTTAAGTGACCTCAAACATGCTGTGACAATTGCGAGTGAGACTGCTGGTAAGCAACTGAAAAGACACACCGATTTGTATAACAGAAAACTTAAGGGTGCTCCGGTGGATGTTGGGGACAGGGTTCTGTTAGCGAATAAAGGTGAGCGAGGAAAACGTAAATTGTCTGACCGTTGGGAGAGCAGTCTATACATTGTGATTGGAAAGAACTCAGAAACCAATACTTTTAAGATTGAGAATTCTTCCACGGGTCAAGTGAAAACTGTTCATAGGAACCTGATCATGCCTGTAAATTTCCTGCCTCTTCCAAATGATTTGGTAGAGGGACCAGAAAGTGTGGAGGAGTGTGTTGGGACTGTGGAAGCTCGAGCATTGGAACTTTTGCCTCAACCTGCAGTTGATCAGAGAACTGTGGTATGGGTTGCAGGGCTCGAGTCTTCAGAAGGTTGTGATGAGGTAACCAACACAATGGAGGACAGAATGACTTGTCAAAACATGACCGAGAATTATGACTCTCTCAGTGATTCAGTGAGATTGGTTGGGTTAGGAGAGCCGGTTTCGGAGGACACTGATCGAGTCATAGACACAAATTCAAACTTGTTTGAGTATGTTCAGCCGCTAACAGATTCTGCCAGTCTAAGTGATGTAGTTACTGTGGCCTCAGTTCAATCTAATGATCTATATGATCCAGGGTTAGGGTTGTTGACGTCTGTGAGATCGAAGGCTGGGAGAATCATTAAACCGGTGGTGCGGCTTATAGAAACTATGCAATTGCAACGTGTAGATAACTGTGTTAAGTTGCCTGTATGGGTTTAATATGATGATTTTTTTTTGCTGTTGTTTTTTTACCCTATTTTGGGTATATTTCTAATTGCATTTAGGATTTGTGAATGTATTGGACAATACATTTAGACCACTTGAAATGGTAATATGGGATGGTGGTATGCTGACTGAGGGTATTGAACATGTAACAGGCATGTTTTTCTATGGGTTTAAAAGGGCTTAGCTAACCCTTCTTTTCTCTAATTCTTCAAAAGAATGGTATATGTACTGAGATGCTCATCAGCATTATTTTATTTTTGAGATAAACATTCCATGGTTTGCATTTATTTTTTTGTTTTGTTTTTATGTTTTGTTTTGATGATTGGAGTAAATTTGTTATAAATTTGAATGCATTTCTATGTATTTTATTTTATTTAATTATTTATTTTTTGTTAAAGTTGTTGATTCTGACTGTTGTTAGTAATAAGTGATCTTTGCTGCTTTGAATTTGTAATTGTTTAATGAGCAAGTGGAGTTCAGCGGGGGAGAATGTAACAGGGTTATATTGTATCTCTCCACTTGCATACATTAAAATACTAATGAGAAGGAAGGGGTTAACATTTATTCATTGTTTTATATGTAGAGCGCCCCCTCTGTTACCTAAAAAAGAAAGGAAATTCATTGTGGTATGAAGGAGGAAGCCATTGCACGAGGCTGGTAGATTAGATCTGCGCTCATTTTTCTGTTCTAACTGTTTCCACAATAATAAAATCGATAAAAGATATATCAGAGTGAATATTTATTTACACAACGCAGAAGAGACGCAAAAGACTAGTTACATATGCTTTATTTTTTTAGTAATGCTTAAAAACAAAAAATATATAATTTTTAAAAAGCCAGAAAATGATACTCAGATGTATTTGTCATTACAAAAGCTGTTTATTTCAGATAAATGTTGGTATGAATCTTTTTAATCATCAAAGAATCTTGAAAAAAAACTAGTCAAATATCAATAAATAATGAAGATAAAAATGATAATTGGACTGTTTTTAGGCTACTGTGCTTTAGTTTGGATCAATTGCAAGTTTGGGGAGCAGAAGATTTCTTTAAAAAGTTAGGTATGGTGTTTCTTTCCCCCCACAAAAAAGTAAGTGTTATTGTTTAAAAAAATGTGAATTTATGCACACTGACTATATTGTATATGCTTGGTAGATGATGAATATTGAAGTGTATTGTTTTATTTAACTAAACCCAACAAAAAGCTTACCCAGCCCTTCCCTGATTGCGTCATTCACAGACAGGTGAACAATGTGTAGGTGAGATTTGTATAAAAAGGACTATTTTAAGACGTTGCCCAAGGAGCCCCGAAGGAAGAAGCCCAGGCACTGAGTCATCCTACAGTGCCAGAAGAGGATCAAGGGCATGTATGTATATATTGTATATAGTTCCAGAATAAGTTTCCAATACATCAATACATTTCATTCGAGTTTTCATCATTGCTGGATGTTTTGCTGATTGTCAGTGCTGCTGATATTCGGCTCTTGGGTTGTTGGGTTCTTTTGGATGGTTTGCTGGATGTTGGCAGGTGTTTGGCAAGGTTTCCTAGGCGGTGTCTTGCGAGTTGTTGGTCTCCTCTGAGTGGTTTTTGGCACATTAGTGGTTTGTTAGTGTTGGCTGTTGGGTTAGGGTAGGTTAGGGTCCCTCACATGGTTTGCAGCTTGACGTGCTGTGAGGACTTGTGTGCATCAGTGATGCTGAGAGCTTTGCTACTGGTATTTCACAGCTACCAGTAGGGTCACCCATAGTGGACAAGTCTCAGCTGAGATGCCCGACCAAGAAAAACCACCTGATTCTGAACAGCAGTACATTGGCCTGATGCTCCAAACAGAAGATGTCACCTGAATGTTTGGAAGAATCTTCAAAACTACAGTTTATATGGAGTTGCAGATGGACCAATGCCAGCTACTGTTAGCTATTCTCTGGAAATATATAACACACACACACACACACACACACACACATAAAAAAATAAATAAAATTAAATCTTGCAGACATTAAGAACTAAATATTTATTTAATTCATTTATTCATTTTCTTTTTGGCTTAATCCCTTTATTAATCTGGGGTCGCCACAGTGGAATGAACCGCCAACTTATCCAGCACGTTTTTACACTGCAGATGCCACCCATCTCTGGAAAATATGCACTTACACTCATTTACACTCATACACTACGGACAATTTAGCCAACCCAATTCACCTGTATCGCATGTCTTTGGACTGTGGGGAAAACCGGGGCACCTGAAGGAAACCCACGCGAACGAAGAGAAAACATGAAAACTCCACACAGAAACACCAACTGGCCCAGCCGAGGCTCAAACCAGTGACCTTCTTGCTGTGAGGCGACAGCACTACCTACTGCGCCACTGTGATGCCAATATTTATTTGTAAAATATTTATGAATTACCTTAATTTAAAGAATATTTAATTTTTGTTTTGAAAAAACACTGTTTAATGTCTTGATATGGGTGGTTCTACTTTCAATAAAACACATGAATACAATTATTAATGATTTATTCAATAAAATATGTAATACTTATGGCACTGGGGAAGAATCAAATTGGGTGAAAACATAAAAGTTATTATTGGTTATCCTGAATTTAAATAAAATTATTGCAAAAATGTTTAATGATGTAAAGTTGACTTAGAAATTACAACCAAAAGAATTCAATTGATTATTGTGCTAAATGTGAAAAGAAGCAAGTAAAGATTTAAAGAAAAAAATACAAAACAATTTAAACTGATTTAAATGGCACAAAAGTGTGTAAATTATTGTGTGTGTGTGTGTGTGTGTGTGTGTGTGTGTGTGTGTGTGTGTGTGTGTGTGTGTGTGTGTGTGTGTGTGTGTGTGTGTGTTTGTGTGTATGTGTGTGAACTATCCCTTTATTTAAAAGAATATGAATATATTGTATTTTATTGCATTTTAATATGAAGAATAATCCTTAAAATAAGAATGTAAAACTTCCAGTAGGTGGTAGTAATGTCTAATGAGTGAGACGGTTCCTTAAAATGAATTACAACAAAGAAGTATAAACCGCTGTCTGGACTGTTTAAATTAGACAATAAAAAATAACTTAAGCGGGCTAAAAATATTTAAATATAGAAATGTTACCAATTACTCTTCTCATTAACAATGATATTTTATCTAAGCTACTCTGAAACAGTTAATATGTAACTTTAATTTTATTTATATTTATATTTTATTTAACAAACCAGTTTGTGTTTTGGCGCTGAAACATATATGACCTTGTTTTTAAGCAGTTCACATTAAATGTTATTCATACATTCATTCGTCTTATTCCCTTTATTAAACAGGGGTTGCCACAGTGGAATGAACTGCCAACTTATCCAGTATATGTTTTACACAGCAGATGCCCTTCCAGCTGCAACCCAGTACTGGGAAACACTCATACACTCTTGCATTCACGCACAACGACCAATTTAGCGTATTCAATTCACTTATAGTATATTTCTTTAGACACCCAGAGGAAGCCCATGCAAATATAGAGAAATTATGCAAACTCCTCACAAAAATCCGCCCATCCGCTATACAACTGTGCTGGTGGGTGATTTGTTTTGCTCCGTGCAAAATAGGGATTTAATTAATGATCAACTCTTTTACCACAAAAACCCTGTTATGTATTTGCTACATTTTTAATATAAGCTATTATTTTAAAGAATATGTCGTGAGCATATGATATTTCCTCAGTGCTGATGTGCTTTAATTTTCACAGCGAGTGTAGTGGAGGGAGTGTCTTAATATCTCAAACTGGCCACAATTTTGTTTAACCTGCTTCAAACTGGTAGAAAAATATACATTTAAGTTATGCTTAGGTCCCCCTGAAGGCTTGCACAGGCCTGGGGTGCTTTGCTCAGTGAGCAATAACTGTCCTAAAATGAGTTCTGTGATCAGTTTCAATTCCCTGTTTATGTAACTGAAGAAATATGCTTTAAAATGTCTCTTTTAGTTAATTTAGGATAACTTCAAATAAAACTAAGAGACTTCAAAATGTACGACATGCAATAGACATACATGATATTATCAGACATTTGAGTTTAGGTTAAATAAAAATACAAATGTACTAAAACTTTTATTTAATAAAATCATATTGGACCAACTCAATTGCATTTAATTGTGTAGTTTTTTTAAGTTTGTGCTAAACAAATTTATTGGATCGAAATCCTGCCCTCAATTAAATTGAGTTCATCCAATAAGTAATTTTTTTGAGTGTAGGATTTCTACAAGAGTTTTGCACTTTTCTTGTATTTCTGCAGGATTACATGTTACCTGGAGAAGTCTTACAAGAAAATGGTTAAAAATCTGTGGGAAATATGTACTGTAGGCGTGTGATGTACAAAATGAGGAAAGTGCATGGTTGCCCTGAAAAAATGTAAGTAATGTTTACCTATAGACTTATAAAGAAAAAGAGTTGAGACTATAAAGAAAAGAGTTGTTTTAGCAATTGTTCCAGTTTGCAATGCAATAGATTCTTTTATTAACGTTTCTCTCAAAATACATCAGAATACAAGTGCAGTAAAAAGCAAGTTTAAAACAGTTTGCCTTCAAGTTTAGCAGGTTTCCGACTTATTTCTGAGAAAATAGCATTGCCTAACTTTGCAACAGCTAATCTAATCAGGAAGGGTTGCACAAACATGGTACAGGTTTAATTTAGTTTTGGTGATTATTTACATCAGGCAGTGTTGCAGGTTATTCAGTCTATGACCACCGTGGCGTAGACAGTTTCTGAATCAAACTTCACTGCAGGAGCAGAGTTTTCCCCAGCTCCTGAATGATTTACGGTGGCATACAACAGCTCATCTTCCACTATCTGTGGGAAAGGATGTAAAGGTTTTCTATCAATCTACAACTTATTTAATTTTCTTTCTTTTTTTAAACATAACAGAATTAGAATAATTCATCCATAGGCCTACCTGTCCTTCAGCAGAACCAGAATTTGCACCTTGATTGTCTAAAAAGAAAGAAAAATTATGTGAGAAAATAATTTGCTGGAGAACAAGATAACAAGACACTCTAAATTCCTCCTCACTGTTGGACAGCTGATGAGCCTCTACAGGCTTACACACACACACACACACAGACAATTACTACCTAGCCCCGCATCCCATGCCTTCGTATGTTTATCAGCCCCGGTGTGGTTTGGTAGTGGGTCTGTGACCAACGCTCTCCAGCGACAGGACAAAATGGCTGTTACATCTGACTATGCCCTGTTACTATCCCCTGTTGCAATATTATGCCTGTCTATGTGTTTATGTGCTTGTTGCTGGGACTTTTCCCCCTGATCTCACACTGCCCTTCAAGGATGGCCTGAGAGGGGATTTTTTTCGCCTACCTCTTCTCTAAAGTATCTTATTTCCTCTTTCTAAAAGCTACCTCTCGTCTGACCTGTCTTCCACTGAAATGTGTGATGTTTGTGTATGGTCCGTGGGGTCCAATTTCGCTACATGTAAAAGTGTATGTGACAAATAAAGGCTTTTCATTATCATCATCATCATGTTTGCACAAAATGTAAAAGCCTTTCTGCAAATAAAATAAACAAACTCACCGTTGTCCATTTCTTGAGCTCTGTAAAATCAAAAGATAACATTTATCAAATCACCGTTTACAAAATATTTAATCAGAGTTCTGTATATGATAAAACACACACTAACCTAGCTGAATAAAGTTTTTGCCCATACCCTAAAAAACAAATGAATAAAATTGTGAAT